TGTGTATTTATATCCGCGTGGGTGTGTGCTTACTGGGCTGGCAATAATTTGGCGTAAATAATGTCAAAAGTTTTTACGGTTGAAATGTAGTATCTGTATAGTCTTCACGTGGAGTTAATCATTTCAGTAACCCAATGGAAAATCTACAAATAAAAACTGTCGGTAGCTACCTACCTATATTTATATTTTTCTTCTTCGATAGGAATAAAAAACCTAAGCCTTGCTGAACATTTTTTTATATATACCTAATATAATACAAATAACACAATTTGAAGTTACTTGGTTAACTAACTAATAAGTAAGGTATAGAAATGTAAAATGACTAAATTTAAAAACTACCTAATGAAAATTATGAAAGTTAGAGTTTAAATAATGTTGCCGATTTATTGTGGGCACGTACACACACACCCTAAAACAACTAATGCGGTTTGCTTGAAGGATTACGTGTGAGGTCAATGTATAACCGATTATTCGCAATGATGATGGTCGATCTACCGGAAGGATTATTATACAAATTTGAAAAAAAAAGAATTTGAAGGTGTTTAATTTTTTTAACATCAATTTTTATACAACAATGAAATTGTGTGTGGGCGACGAATCGCGGGTTTTGTGTCCAGTTTAGTTTTAGATTATTTCCGGGAACACAACTTGGCGGGAATTTCCGGGAACATTGAACAAGAGAATAGATTACTATTTATTAATTATTATGTTAATTAAAGGCGTATTCCAATTAGATATTCAAATGTTTGATCAAATTTTATATAATAATATATACCTAGGTAAATAATTATAAATATTAAAATATGTAATTTTCTTTTAATCAATCAATAATTAATAGAAAAAATAAATAGGATAAGAATTGTGTATTCGTGCACAGGTCATTTTCATTGGAATGTTATACTATAATATATAAAAATTAAAATTGAATGACGTTAAACCAACTATGATGATATTGTGCTGAATGTACACACAAAACAAATTTCTTTTTAAAAATCACTTTCCAAACACTTTAAGATTTACATAATATTACATATTAAATAAATAATATTAAATTTTGTTAGACCTCTTATTTAAAATTAAAATATACAGCGATGTTAATAAGCGTTAGAAGAATACAAAAATGTAACGTATATTATGTAAGTATGTAACTGTTAGGTGTGAATATAAAATATAAAGTTAAAACGTGATAAAAGTTTGAAGTTAATATTTAAACTGGTTAATTGGTAAATGTTATCATCCACGCGGTGCTTATCACATCGGTAATGACTCAGAACAGTGCCGTAATTTGATCATGTTTTTGTGGGGGGGGGGGTGAAACATTTACATAATGATTGTTTCTATAAAATATACTTTATTACTACCAATAAATAAAAAGTCGTTCAATGGTTATATTATTATATATACCGTATCATAATGATATAATATAGTGTCAAAGCTGCTAAACTACATTATTCTATCATAAAATTCAAATACTTAACACTCAAGACCTAATAATATTTGTTGTACAGACTTTCCATACATGTGTACAGATTTTATGACCTACCCATCAACTTTAACAACATTTAAATAGTGTATAATTGGGGGGATTTACATATTTACTTGATTAACTGACATCCATTTCGGCATAGATATACCGTTCCTCCATAACAGTGGTGCGCAAACTTGTTTGATCCATCGACCATCACGACCCTCAAATATATTTATTTCGATGAGGTTGCCCGATACCAATACAACATAACTACGAGTATATTATAATATAATATACAATTATTCTTTTTTATTTGATATTAAATTACTGGTAACGCCCTATTAAAATTTCGTTACCCGCTTGTGGGTTGCCTCCAGGTTGCTTACCATTGCTTTATTATATTACAGTATTTTTAAAATTATAAAGTATACCTATTATCAACAAAAATATAAATAAAATGATAATTCATGGTTTAAATTTTTGTTTCCCCGGGTGTGTCAACCCATGATTAGCATATTGTACCAAAAACATAATTTTATAAACACGGTTGCGCAAATATTTCATTCATTTATAGATTTGAGAAGGTACCAAAACGGATAATATTGTTAAATAGCCCATGGGTTAATAAGAAATATCCAATGAGTAATATCACAGTACAAAATATATTTCGATGGTAATTTCGGTTGACCTTTGTTAAATTTATTCCGCTAAAACCTGACCACCTAACCTTTAAGGGTCCAATACGATTTTATTGTATCGATATAATATTATTGACCGTGTACCTACCTATATATTGTCTATTGGTGATAATATTATGATACTGAAGGAATGTTCAATGATACATTATTCAAAATATCAAAATCATTTTGATATTAATTATTGATAAATAATTATTACTGAAACGTTTTAAAAATAATTATTGATAAGTTTAAAAAAAAAAATAAACACTTTAATTATTATGAACCATTACGAGATACCCTAACCAGGTTAATATAAATACATTATTACTATTATACTCACGACCGGTGCCTAAAATAGCCAGCGCACACTCCATAACTCCGTGTGCTGCACGTAATTACGTTTGGGAATATTATTGTAATTTTACTATAATTTTAGTGATGTTAATTAATTATTCGCCGCGAGTACTGCGACGAACGTCTTTCCGCAGTGGCGTCGTCGTCGTGTCAAACGATTTTACTTCTTGCGACGGTCTCCGAAGAACGCTTCGAGTAGAGGTAGATACCTACCCAATAAGTTTTTCGTGCGATTTGATTATGCGTAGACAGCAGACCTGTCAAGGTGCGTTTCGTCCTTATAATACGCTCCAGAGACCGTTGTCGGCCGTGCTTTTCCCTTTGGCACACCAGCAAGGGTTTAATTTTGTGTAGACAAACATTGACAGTAATGAAATAAATTATTATCGTGATGGTAGTTTTTTATTTTTTTTTTTTACAGGCTTATATTACTATTATTACGTGTCGCATGATCGATGACTGGCCAGCGGGCACCGGTGGCGATGACACGTCCAGTCTAACTAAATTGTTGAGCTTATATATTATGTTATTATTATTATAAAAACCGATTTCAGATTATTTAAATTTGTTTAATAATACCGCGAAATCATTATTTAATGCATGTTTTCATAATGTATAATGTTTTGATGTATCGATATCGCGTGATTTTTTTTATTAATGAAGCTTACCTATATAGAATCTCACAACATTTATTTTGTCCTATTATAATATTATTATGGTACGCATAATAACGTCGATTTATCGTGGCATTATCTGGAAACATTTAACCAAACGAATATAACGCACTGCTCCTTCACGAGAATGGCCTGCATGTTCAATGTGGTGCACTGGATTTCGCAGGTTGGAAAAATTAATTTACACGTCATATAGTTGCTTGTTCAAATGTAATATATAGGTACCTACAATCTACATGCGTGACTTGGGTCAACATTCTCTTGGGGCTACGGCCATTTTATCGCGACATTTTGTCCACCTCATTATTTAATATTATAACTTACAAGTTATAGAAACGTAACATCATAACTCTACTGTAGATTGCAGTTCTAAAATCTGCTTTAATACATTCTGGCATTTACCTAAGTTTATAACTACATAATGAAACTATTTAGATTTATTATTTATAACCTTTTATAGTTAAAGGGCGCTAAATCGTATGCTAAGCATCTTTTGGATAGGTATACCACATTATTAATTACCTACAAGATTAACTATTGTCATCATAGTGTAAGTTTTAGTAAGATTGCATGTTTGTATATATACAAATATATTATACATGATAGCTTAGCCCCCTAAAATCACTCAAAGCCCCCTCAAAAAATAATAGTATACCATTCTTAAAACTATGTTCCTATAAATTATAATTTAAAAAAATGTGTTGGGGCTTGAGCCCCCCCCTAAACATTTTTCCTATTTGCGCCACTGGACTCACCCCGTTTTCCCTCTCAGGTATATAAATATAATATTATAATAACTATATAATAAGATAAAATCCTTATGCTATAAACAATGTAGGTATATTAATTATTGTAATAATCACTTTAAAGTCAGATGGTTGAATTCAATTGTTGAATATTTATTTATACTATTATTTTTAATTCTGACGTCATTAAAACCAAATTAACCAATTTTTCTTATTTTTTCTCATCATAGGATTTATTTTTGTTTGGATTATTGTGTTGGTAAGACTGTAGGTAGTTCCTGTATTAAAATAATTACAAGAAAAGATAAATTTATTGTATAATATTATCGTTTATTTTATGTTATAACAAGAAGGTTAAAAAAAAACATAAAACTTAGTTCGATTAAAAACATTTTCATTTTCAAATGAGTAAACAAAACGATGAATTTTTTTGTTCATAATATTGAATAAGTATGGACAGAGCAAGAAAAATAAGCCTTATGGATGGGGTTTCTATGAGTATTTTTTTTTTATAAAAACTTTATGAAATTTATCTTATCTTAATTTATTCTGTACTGCATATTTATATGGTAATTTAACTTATGTTAAAACTATTGATTACTTTGATTCCTAAGGGACTTGTCGACCTTTCTTATAAAACAATTTACCCGTACTTTGATATATTATGCAGCGTAACCTATCCATTATTTTTATAATTAGGTAATCTTATACCTATTAGTACAGATTCTAAAAAGTTTTTATCACGATTTAAGTTTAATATCCAGATAACAAGAAATTGCTATACTTTTAGTTTCCAAATAATGTATTTTTGATCATCCTGTTCCGCTCTGCCCACCTACATTTAAGGTCGTAATGTTTCCACCGAGTATTATCTGTTGGTGTTTAACTGTGAATAGGCTATACACAGGTGTAAACTTGGTGTAGTTTAAATGATTAATAACTACACAAGTTTGAAGTTTGTTTGTATTATGTTTGTGTATAACCTATACCGCAGTTAAATCTAAACTCAACTACATATAATATAATTATTATTGAGGTAACGGTTAAGATATAATATTTTATATAAATGTATAACGATCTAGCATTGCAAAATTGTGGTCAATAACATAAGAAACAATAATAAATATGATGCAACCGTCAGTTGAGTGCATGGTATGTCACCAGCGGACTTAGTTTTCGGCCCTTTGGTAGGATTCATGTGATGTTTCCGTGTGACTGTTACCACTGCATTCGTTTGGTTTGTGGGCACTGTCATGTTGCAGTACATGTCATCGCAGCAGGATACGCACACCTGTAAACAATAGTCATTGTGTTTATTGTGTTTTTACATTATGTATTGTACAAAGTTTTGATTAAAATTATATTGTTATTACATTTTAACATTGCAAAGTTACAGTTTTAATCACATAATATAAGTAATTTTGTTCAATTTTAGCTGTAGAAAAATTAAAAAATCTCTGGGTGCCAAACGTTCCAAATTATACCCTATAAGTATAAATATATATCTACAAAATAACTCGTTACTCTTGCGATTGTAAAAAATTATTTTTCTTTACAAGTGCACTAAAATGGAATGATCGGTACTTCTATACGGTTTGTTCAAAACACACATGTATAAGTAGTTAAATTAAAGAGTTAATATAAATAAATAATTAAAGAATAATACTGCTATTAGTAGTAGTCACATATTGTGTCACCTTTATACGTTGGATATATATTCCAAACTACCCCCACCGAACGCCACTGGGGCAACAATATATGAAACTATACCTACGTACTACACTGCCTAAAATGTCAGACCATTCAATTGCATGGTTTTGCACAACTGAGATTACACTTATGGTATTTGCAAATATATGAATTATTAGGTACTGTATGAGATTTATATTTCATAAAAAATATTGCTTTTATTAGGGTTTGTCGTAGGTACAAAGTACCCACGTGACTTATAAGCGTTAAATGTGCATTAAAGACATTATTTAAATAAAATTTGGGGGACGGAGTGGCCGAGTGGACTAAGGCGTCGGTTGTGATTCGCAACGACGCCGGTTCGATCCCGGCTACTGGTGGCATTTTTCTTCAGGCAGTCACGACTCACGGTGTCCGGAGAGAAATACCGCCACCCCCCACCCGGGTAACCTGTGCCCACTTAAAAATTTTGCCAAAACACAAACACTCACGTATAAAAACTCACCTTTCCAAACCCTACCACCACCACGATACAACCCTACAAACAGCTTATGGCCATAGATGCTGGGCTTAAGGATCAATAAAAAAAAAAACACAAAAATAAGATTATGTTGGATTCGTTAAAAAAAATATAGATAGATACTTGCAAACTGAGTTGACTATAGTTGAGGTATTGTCGTATTAAATTAAAAAATAAGGTAGAGTCATAATATTATAATATACTTGGAATACAGAATGACGTAGGTATATAAACTACTCTGGAAATTATTATTAAACTTACATTTTTTAGATATGAAATTATATTGAGAAATAATATTATTAAAATAATATATTGCTGACCTTATGACTTATATACAATTTATAGAAAAGGATAATATTATTATGTATACTTTCAGATTATTAATATTATTTAAAATTATTTTTTAGACTAGACATATTATATTTTACTATAAAAGTAACTTTATATGTAAATAAACTATCACAATTTTTTTGTTTTAATTACCTAGTTATTATTAAGACAAAATGGTCTTAAAAAAATTAGTATTTATTGACAATATATAGATATGTCTATTCATAAATGGTATTCCTATTTTATTTCATACCTTTTAAATTACATGTATAGGTTAGGTAAGGTAATAATAGCCCATAGGTAATAATTCAATTATTTACAATAAGTATTATTTTTGAAACGCATTTCATTCTTTGTTTGTAGAATTTTTATAATGTGGATTTTAAATCTCAAGAATCGAACTTTTGATTGACAGGAATATGTAAAAGTTATTTTTAGCGGCACTTTATTAGTTAAATTGCATTAACAATCGGAATGTAGCTGATATAGTGGGCTTTAAAGGAGAGTGTATAGTGAATAGTGATTGATTAAAATGAACAATGGACAAAAATCACAATGGAGTTTTTTTGTTTTTCTTCCGGCCATCTATTTGATGTATAAATCCCATCCACAACATCTTACCTTTCCATTTTATTTTATCTCCTGACATTACATCGATTTATTATTATTTTGTCTCTTTAAATCAAATGTATCTCACTCAGTTTCCATTCATCACTCGCTACATGTCCAAACCATATCCATTTTTGTCAACACATACCTTTATAATCTACGACCATATACACTATACAGTCTAGGCTTCCATCCTTGTTGATTTTTACCTATCATCTTAATAAGTTATGACTATTTCATTAATGTACAAATAATGTTTGAAGTCAATGCATAGGTAATATATCTAACTAGTATAAATTTACCACCCTATACCAGTTATTTGTGCCTACACTTACCTATATTTATTTTTCATTAATAAATAAATAACATAATAACGTTTACCGTTATAGGTACCTATAGTCCATTACAAAATTATTACATCAGCCTGGTGGGTACTAAACTTAAGTTAGGTACTAATTACTAAATCAATATAATTAATTGCAATTTAGTTAGCAGCAATGATTCTCTCCCCCTAACCGCGTTTAATGTCACCACTAACGGAATAATTTTCCAGTTGAAACCGAAATTGAAGGAAAATCACTTGATTTTTTTATTAACAATAATTTACTATCAAATCTTTAATTTTAGTTATCGCTAAGTTAGACAGAAAACTAATAATAAATTATTCAATTTCAACTACTGATGATTATTATATATGTAATAAAAAAGGGTTAACGGCTTAACTGGGCTCTATTATTCACCTCGCTACACCGCTGATGGGATTCGTTCTATATTATGGTTTAATATTACGCATCTTTTTAATTTGTTGTTTACATTTATACCTTAAAAATTAAAAGTATACATAAAAAAAGATTATACAACAATGACATAATACCTAACTATTACTAGTAATATAACCATTATAGTAGTATACAACTTACAGTCTGTCTGTCAATGCTTAGACAACCGACAGTGGACGGATGACATTCTGTTCGGTTGGCACATTTTTTGTTCACAATAACACTAGATCCAGTTGAATCCATTATGTGTAACGTCTGACAGTAGTCTAGATCTACGGATACATAAATTACTTCCACTGAAGTTTAAAATTAAAACTGATACATACCTCGAGCACATGGTTTGTCAATGGCATATTGGTTGCATGTCAAATTGTCTGACACGTTTACGCAAGTGTAGCAAGTTAAATTTTCTGAAATAATTAAAGCAATCTATGAAATAACATTTATAAGATCTTTAAAATTTAGCTGATAATGTACGTTTTCGTATCAACTATAATTTAATATCAATCCGTATTCTGCGCATTATTATGGACATTTATTTATTTTCTATTTTTATGCTTTTAAATAAACTGCATCGGACCGGGTGGGTTGACGTATGATTTATAACTTTATACACATATACCTACCTAATAGGAACGGTACAGTTCTATCTCATATAGTATGTATTTGGCTATTATTCAAATCGGCTACTTGATATTTAAATTAGATTTGAAAAAAATATGCAGTATAGATGACATAGTCTATTTAAAATGTATTTTATTTTGTTATATGAATTTGATAGTATTATAAATATCACCTATTGGCTACAGTCTGTTTTTAATAGTTTATCCTCTCCCATTATAATTGAATAGTTACACATTAAACCTCTTAATAAAACATTTTAGTTAAGTTGTGTGAATAGGATGTAAACTTTTGTATATAAAATATTAAAATTCAAGTATAAATTGAGAATTAAAAGAAAATCTGACAGTATATTTTTAATAAAACGTTTTCAGAAAACCTAACGATGTGATCCATCAAATATTAGTGTAAAAAAATGATATACCATAGTAATTATAATAATAATTAAAAAGAAAATAATTAATAAAAATATTGGCATCGATGTGACGTTTTTTTACCATTAACTTCGTTGTTAATAGATTTGGACAGTCATTATAAGTTCTGAAAAAAATATAATATTTTTAGTGTTTTTTTTTATAACTGATGGCACTTAAATTGGCAAGTTTAACGTTTTCCATGCCCGTCAAAATATAGTGATTTGTGAATTAAAATTTGGATAGTAAAATGAGGCATTATTTACTGGGGTAGAAACACTATTTTGCTAAATTTATCATTGTAAGTTGTAACAATATCATTGACGGTTAATTGGTTTAAGGAATTCTTAGCATACTTAGAGTCTTATTTTGTGTTCCTAATTTTTTTTTTTTTTTTTACAATCTAGGTGAAGGAATTAATCTCAAAATAAATTAAAATTCTGTTATATTTATCTTATTTACATAGTTCCATACAAGAATATGTGTGATAAACTCTGGGCTCTGTTTTCACAAAAACCATGCAACAACAATAAATATTTCATCATATTTTATTATTGTTTTTAAACCAGGCAATAGATTATAAATTTAAAATAAAGTTTGTATAGATTTCCACGAGACTTATGGTTTTTGAGTATACTAGTATAAGAAAATAGGTACAAATTAAAAGTATTTATTCTATAATTTATTTCAAATTAAATGAATAAGTATTATATCATTTTATTCACACTATATTATAATGTTATATTATTATGACCTTGAAAAGATTTTACCTTGACTATTAAATTATTTTTGGTGACAAATTAAACATAATTGTTTAAGTTTATTGTACATTTCTACAAATTGTTTTACAAACATTTCATAGTGTTCTGTGTTTTATCTTAAGATTCTTAGTCGCGAGAGAATTGGTTTGACAACCATGTGTTTTGACTTTTGCTCTCGGGAAAAAAGCTTTTAGGGTAGTAAGACTGTTTCAAAAGTTTCGTGTAACATATCAGTCGATTGAAATATAAATGGAGTTCCGTGGTAAAGAATGCAATTTTTTTTCTTCGAAAATAATTTAAATTTATGATCAAATTACAACTATTTGCGTATTCATTATTTTATGATATTTTGGTTTACCTGGAATAATGTTAAAAGTTTATAACATTAGACAGGCTTAAAATCTTCACAAGTGCAGTATTATTTGTAATTTTAAACTTTATGGTGTATAAAAAATAGTTGTGTAGTTAGTTGGTATAATGTCCAATAAATAATAATGTATTACGATAATACATAATAAACCGCATAAAATGTATAAAAGTTAAGTCATAATTAAGTTACATTTATAACAATTAAAATACTGCTCTAATGCCGCTAATCTAATGAGCAATGATAGTGTCATTCTTGTCTGAAATTATGTGCGTATATTATCATTGTTTATTTGTTTACTACACACATAATTAAGTGAACTATTTAATTAAACTGATCTTATGTATTTTAAACGTGTTAATACATTCAAAATGGTTAAGAAAAATAATTTTAACTGTTTAAAATAAGTAATAATATGTATATTAGCATAAATTACTAATATTATGTACCAATTATATAGAATCATTAGTGCATTAAATATAATGCTAAGAATTAGATGTTTCACATTGAATATTATAATTGTATTGTGTTAAACAATTTTATATGCGAATTGTTTAAAATATTATATTGATTTACAATTGTCATTAAACAGTGTACGTCGTGTATCGTATTTTCCTCGGATTAAGTGTGATCGTGTGACACATTTTAGAGAATGCTTATTTGAATATTTGATTAGGGTTTGTACTTTGTCGTTAAAAACCTGCCATTATCCACAACTGGACGTTTCAAAATGGCTTTATATTGTTTACCAGTGAATTACCTTCTGTCATGTTTTGTGTGACAACCTCGGACATTTTGGTATCGGAACTCAGCGGTCTGGCCACACAACCAGACAATAAGGCCCATCTAAATAGTGGTACCATCCACGGGCAACCATGAGGCATACCTCTGTATGACCCCAAACATTACCTAAAACAATCAAGACAAATAATTTTAGATTTTTAGCATAAATAAAGCATTGCCTTAGATTTGTATCCATTTATTTTTGTCCTAGTTATTCATACATATAGTTTGTTTGTGTAGAAAGAAACTTCCGAAAGTTTTAGAGTATATAATGTATCTTATACAGTATTATACAACTTAAGCCGGTCGGCTATCAGTTAGTTATTTAAACGATCATAATATGGATTAGATATTGGAAAAAGATAGTATTTGAATAAATTACAAACAATTTTTTATGAAAGTGTTTCTATTTTTAACCATATATATTTAACATGTTTAAATCATTTTTTTAAAGTTAAATGGTAGATCATCTACCAAAATGAATAATCACGAAAAATGTGAGGTATAAGGCTTTATGTTTTTTTAATTACAATAGTTATGTCCTAATAATACAATTTGAAGTATGCTGTATACTAGTTCAATATTTTAATAACTAATTTAAATAAAATTACAATAATAATTAAAAAAAAGCAACTTATAACTAATTGATTTAATGTAATTATATTTTGGAATCCAATAATAAAATAATAATGTATGAAATATGTTGACATGTCGTTTATGAATAAAATAACTGAACCGTTTACTATATGTAGGTATTCATGTTTATTTATGTCTCTCGAATGGTCCAATAATCAATATGTTGGGCATGGTTCTGTATTCACACAATGTTTGGAATTATTCATACAATGGTGTTTAAACTCAATATAATTTAATTAATTATGCCATTCACCAGTATTGTAACACTTGAGTTGGATTACTTATTTTAGGACAGATCGTTTTTAATATATCGGACAAATATCATTCTGACACTTATTTTAACACTATATAATTTATAGTTTTACACAAAGACAACAATTTTATATTTCAATATTATATTTTCTAAAAATATATCAGAATAAATATTAAAAAACCAAAATGTCTTATGGCCTTTTAAAAAATAAAATGAAAACTAATGAAAACCTCATTTAATTTACCATAAAAAGTATTTTTTTTTTTGTCCATGGGCCGCCATTTGGTGACATCAGCCTTATGGTAATATTGAAAAATGGAATAATATATTAAAATTAAAATTATATAACTATACCTTATTATTATTTTATATGAACGATGAAATAAAACTCTACAAGGAAGTAATTAGGAGTACGCCATTTGCAGTTTGTAGCTGTATATGAATCGGAATCTTGTTGCAACTATTAGTAATTTTATTTCATATTATGCAACTTTACATAATATTAATTCATCTTACCGGTAGTCTATAATATTATGGATTAAGCTAATATTAATGTACTTTATGGTACCATTCTAGTTTTAATTACCTAAGTAAAAGTGAAGGAGCTTTACTTAGTTTTTTTTGCGAAATTTCAGAATATACGATATAGAATTAGAATATATTATGCAAACAGTTATTGTAGATAGCTATATAATTTCACCCCAACAATTCTACGATAAACTAGTTCTATGCAAACTTGTAATGCTGCACACATACACATCTTATTTGCTCAAAGTTTTAAAGAGGTATATTCAATTACTGTTCATTTTCATTATGTGCCTATATTATACATCTAACAAAGTTGTATTTTTATCGAATAATTATTACAGCTAGTATTATTATTATTATTCCTATTATTGTAGTATTATTTTATTATTTTAGACTCTAAATAATATTTAAATTGAAGAATCTATTGATTTTATAATGCGTACTTTTTTTTATACAGTATTGCTAGCATAGGAAGGTACTAAAAAAGCTTAAAAAGTTTCATACTTTGGTTCAATCTCTTTAGATTATAAAATTATACACAAATAGTATCTTCTTTAAACATTTATATTTTTTTAAAGTTCAGTACATTTTGAATAGTCCCAAAAAGTAGAAGACTTATAAGCAAATAAATGTGTCTTGACTATTTTAAACGTTTGGACAGCTAAGAATTTATTTCGAATATAATGATTTTTCATGGCTTTCATTTATAAAGACGCTTGACCTATATATGAGCGTGCTTTTTTGTAAAAGCTATCCAGTGCGTGTTCAAAAAAAAAAAAATAATAATATTTATTTAGTCCCTCATCGATTTGAAACTAGAAAGATGATTAAAAAGTGATTTTTAGAATATCTTAGTAGGCTTTAAGATATATAAAAAAAAGAAACAGCGAGAATATCGTGAAAGTTACAATAAACTCATTTTAAATCAAATTAATTTTATCGTTATACTTACTCTTGAATTCAGACAAAAGTTCATATTTTTTATTAAAACACTCACTTTGAAATATAAATCATGCTATGAACTTGGATTTGCTTAGATTTGTATTGCTTTCCAAATGCAATTTATGATGATTTATTAAGGATTTGAAATTAAAAAAATATTAATAATATGCATCACTTTCTTATAACTCAGCGAAGAGACACTAACGACACAATATGCCTAGTATCTGGTTAGCTTTTTTTGTATTTTTAAAATCATGATATTTTTTCGTAATAATAAACAATTTTCCGACGTTTCAATTTTTTAAAATTTGTTTCCTTTTAAGTATAATTAAACATTGCTCACTGATAGGTTACGGATACGAGCCAAAAGCGTTGGACTTAAGTGTTGCGTGAAGATTAACGTCGTTATCGTCGTTGTCGCCACCGTCGAAAAGTTTTCAACAGCGAATGTATAATAGGTCGTCGAGGAAAACTAACTTCTCAATAATTTAAAGGTATAATGTGAAGTAAGAGTGAATGGAGGGATTTTAGCGACAGTTTGCCAACAGTTACACGTCGTTATTAGTTATTACCTACCTTAGACTTTGGAGGGTAACTTTTGACCACGCGTGAGAGAATGGGTATACAATATATACGTACGCCGTACACAGCACGTATAATGTATATAAAATATTATATATACGTGCGAGCATACTTGAGGGTTGGTGCCATTGCCGTTTAAAAAGCTCGGCTTATTGTTGTAAATTTCTACAGAACAATATAAAGCTGTTATCTCAGTGTATACAGTATAATATCGCGTATTGTAGGAGAGCATTGTATCCGATTATAATATTAATAATACCTACTGCAGCAGTATACCGTGTTTCTACTATACACGGGCACACGCGTCGGGCTAATGAAAACACATGGTCGTCGCTTTTCTTTTGTTGTTTATTACGCGATGATGGCCATAACATTTTAATCTGCCCCGCACTTTCCGACCAACTTGGTCATCCTTAAACGTTTCAAACTTTGCGTATTAATTGGGTCATCTGTATATAGTTGTCGGTGAATTATTTATTGCCCTGCAGCTAAAGCCACCTTCTGCATCATCATTTTATTATGTAAATCTTTACAAACCTCAACCCAATTATACAGGTAAAGCCATAGGTACAGGTAGGTTAGGTATTGGAATATTATGTTTAGGTAACGTGCGTTAAATTATTGTCATGTATAAAATCTAATGTCGAGCTATTGTTAGTGCAAAATTTGTGATATATATTGGCGATACCTACTTATCATTTATTATTCATGGGAGTGCAGTTACCAACATTTTATCAGACGACGATTGTGTTTAGGAACACAAAATTATGTATGTATGGCAAATATCAATGACGGTTATTGACAATACAGTTACAGTGTGTGTATCCCAATTTTAAAGCATGAGGATAATTTAACCGTGATTATACATAATATATTGTTAGTTTCTGAAATTTAGTGTTCGTTGCTGAATTATTTTGAAATCGTTTATTAAATAATTCCCATTAAAAGTGATTTATTTAAAAAAATGTAGTACCAGAATTTCATTAAATTTTAGAACTAATTATCTATTCTTTATAATCAACAGTAGGTACCAATTATGTAAGTTGATTAGGTACATCAGTACATGTGCTATTTTGTATTTACACCCATAAGTATTAAACCCAATATGTAAGTAATACCCAATATGTGTACTTTGCTATGACATACCTACTTTCAAACTAAAAAGTAAAATGTATATAAATAAATATTGTTTTGTAATAAATTATACCTTATGATAATATATTTAATATAAGTACTTTACTACAGTCTATAACAATTAGATTTTTAATATTGTTAGTTTTCTGCTGAACTTTTATTGCAGCCAGTTATATATTTTACACACTCAAACATAATAAGTGTATATTTAAAAGTATGACTATATACCATTATCTGTTTATATCCATCATACAATTTTATAGCTTAACCACTCTATTCATTTTATATCCAAGCTGTTCTATTTAGGTAAATACCGTATAGACTGTTTCAAGACTAAAATAACCAGCAAGTGTTAATACTAAGCTCTACCTACGATTTTTCCAATGTTCTCATCAACCACCTTTATTAAAGAGACAGTTACTATTAGTTTATTGAAACCTTCAACTGACAACTGGTTATAGCTATTTTAAACATTGAAAAAATCTTGTATATGTGTTTATGTAGAGAACTTGATTAACTTATCCTATGCAAATGTGGTTATTGGTTATTTACCTATTTTCAGTTATTGGCACATAAAATGAAAAATGCAATGAAGCAATGTTTAGTTTAGTTATAGTTTGATAGACAGAGATAAAAGGCATTTACTAACATGCATGACATAATACATAGGTGATTTACTAATTTATTATTCTATCCATACTATCTACTCGTGAACTTATTTCTTTGTGTTTAACAAATTGTAACATGGAAACTTCATGATTTTAAAATTAATTTTAATCTTTTGGTTTTAATGTGAAATTTTAACAATTATTATTCTATTACATAATGAAAAAGAACAATGTACTTAAATCAATTGATTCAAGGATTCTATAAAATACTCTAGAATTGGGTCAAATTCTAATTTGATAAAAATAATATGTGATAAAAAATATTTTTGCAGTACTTCTTTAGATTTTAAATAATAATTAAACATGGATGATTCTATGGAGATAGTTTTCGAATTTATTTTCACGAAAAACATCAAAA